CCGCCTCCTCTCCCTCCCCCCCCCTCACTCAGGGACCTGCCATGACCTCGGGAGCCTCCCTCTCACACGTCAGTGGTCCGTCTGTTCTATCCCACCAACTGGTCTATTGTGACAACCTAACTTTCTCCCTTGTTTTCATTTTGTCTGACGACGGGTTGGTGTCACCAGCTCGAAAATTCGCGAGAACAACTCGACTTTTCTGAAGAACATCTTCTATTTTTCATTATATCAACTCGGAATGCATTCCACCTCTGATCTACATACATACATATATATCGCGTTCATCATCTCCCGAAGAAGACGAAGAAGAAGAGAAGGCGAATCCATGGACCATATTGCATTCGAACTGACGTTTCGGAAACTTCCTCGTTTCCATCATTAGAGTAGCGTCATTGTTGCACTTGGGGGTCTTGAGTTATTCAGTCTTGCCGCTTGCCTCGTATTATAGCCGTGCTGGACGCACGAACGTTGACCTGCCTGTTTGCCGCTGACTGGCTTAGACCTCCCCGGAGCTGACCGCTGATAGGCCTGCGTGACCTTTGTTCCCTTTGGGGTCGGCTTAGTTGTGGTCAAATCAACGTGCCGCTTGGCGCCTCCCACGTCAGCCGGTGGACTGATCGGTCGTTGCTGTTCAGGTGCGCAGCATTCAGCTTCGCGGGCGCATCGGTGAGACAGTGTTCGGCTTTGGTCACATGACCGCTGACCCCCAATTCCGCTCCTTTCCGTGAGCGTTAACTCTCGGTCCCGCGTGCTCGCTTGCCTTACTGGTCCTGTCCGGACTGATCCGAGCCTTGTACGCAGTGCTTGGTAGGCGGGATGTAGATCTATAGCTCGGTTGAGCGTTGCAGTCGAGGACCAACTTTCGAGTACCAGTCTGGCCATCTTCTCATTGGCTCTGCCAATTACCCTCGCTTTCTCAAAAGCAAAATTGTGGTTCAGTTCTTGTATGTGGCCATAGACCAAAGACAGCTTGTCCTTGCGGTTGATTGCCAGTTGGTATTCGTGCAATCTTGTGCCGAGGCGTTTGCCCGTTTCAACAACATACCTTGCATTGCAATTTAGACATGGTATGCTGTAGACCACCGCCGACTGTTCTGTTGTTGGTAGCGGGTCTTTGGGCTTCATGATTTGCTGTCTGATGGTACATTCTGGTTTATGAGCCACGCCAATCCCAAAAGGTTTTAGGATTCATGCCGTTGCCTCTGATACGTTCTTCACATGGGGTATTGAGAGCCAGAACTTGGGCTTTTCTCCACTCGACCGCTCAAAATGAGGCTTTTTGATGCAATTGCGTATGAAGGACTTCGGGTAGCCGTTGGCTTGTAAAAGGCCCTGTAAGTAATTCATCTCCGCCTTCCTGCCACTGTCGTCGCTACAATGTGTTTGAACACGTTGAAAGAGAGTTCTGACACAACTGCGTTTATGACCAACAGGGTGGTTGCTTCGGAAGTGGAGGATGCGCCTAGTATTTGTTGCCTTACGGTAAACCGTTGGCCTTATCTTCCCGTCTGTCAATCTCGTAACTTGTACGTCCACGAAGGGCAACTGATTGTTTACTTCCTCTTCCATAGTAAACTGAATGTCGGGGAAGATTGAGTTCAACAATGTCTTGAAAGCCTTCACCTCGCTCCTCTTGATTACAACGAACGTGTCGTAGACGTATCTGGCCCAGAACTTCGGGGGGTACGAGCTGAAGACCTGCTGCTCGAGTCTCTGCAAAACTGCTTCGGCAATTAGTCCAGACAGAGGCGAGCCCATCGGTGTCCCCTTCTTTTGCTCGTAGAAAGATGATGGAAACGAGGAAATTTCCGAAACGTCAGTTCGAATACAATATGGTCCATGGATTCGCCCTCTCTTCTTCTTCGTCTTCTTCAAGAGATGATGAACGCGATACAATGTCTGGACCTCGAATCTTTACGCATATCGATACATATATATGTATATTTATATATACATACATATAGGAGCTGCTCATTTTTTGTTTGGGCTGTGTAACTGCTGCATTTTCTGGGTATTGTGCGCTCTTATACATTTCCGGCCCTCATGATAGGTTTCTTTGAGAATGCAGTTGTTCAGACGTGGTTTGTTTGTGCTTTTGAGATCAACTGGCGCTCAGAACGAAAATCTGGACGAGAAACAAGAAAATGCGCAATTTTCGGCACCTTTACGGCAGCTTCCGTCAAGACAAGGCAACAGAAATCAACGTCCAGCAATGCGGGCAGTCTGGAGTTAAATCAAAGAAGAGCTACCTATTCCCGTGTCTAACACTTAATTTTAAGGCAGACCCTAATCTTTACCTTAAACCAAATTTTCCTAGTATTTTACTGACTGCGTCGCCAATGGTTGAAAATCTCACTAATGATGATGCAAGGGGTTCGGCTGATCAGTGCCTTCTGGCAGATGCTCCTACATCTTATATTTCAGCTGTTTAATTCCCTCAAAAGTTAATATGCAGTCTGGGGGCACATTCTGCGCAAAAATATGCTTCAACGCCCGCTGCGAAGTCTGATGTAGGTATTTAAGCCAAAATTCACTATTTTCTGCGAGATATCAGCCTATTATTTATAACCTGTCGAAGGCTAATTAGTATTAGGCAAAGGTATGTACTGAAGAATTTACTAGAAGCTAGCACATTTGCCTCTTAGGGGATAAGAAGTCCGAAGGCATAACTTCTACGTGCTCAGTTTTCTCAGAATTACTTGAAACTTAAAACCACAGTTATGTGTTCGCTTCCTTGATAATTTAAGTATACACCAATAATCTGAAGACAAGTTGGCGAGGACAAGTTTACTTCCGATAAATTCCCGTCAGACCAGTACCAGTTATGAAAATTAGGTCAAATTAATCATACCAGTGATCCAAAAAATCGATTAAAGTCCGTCTTAAAACACAGACAGTTTGTTAGAACACGAGGAGGAGTAATAACTGTCACTGCCAGAAGCCTAAGAAGGAAAAGGGCTGAGAGTTGCATGCAGTCAGTCGGCTTCTTACCTCGGTAAGCGCCGAGCCCAAGCACGGCTTTCTACGCGCATAAGACCGTCTTTCGCAACCCCGTGGCGCCTGATTCCGCAGTTGCCAACGGACGCTAGCCCAGAAGTTTAGGATAGTTCGATGGATCACAGGAGGAGTTTTGTCGGAGTGCATATGATGCCTGGAATCAA